AGCGGAATCATTTGAACTGGCAGCGAAGTTCTGCTATGGTGTCAACTTTGAGATCACGGCAGCAAACGTTGCCCAGCTTTGTTGCATCTCGGATTACCTTGAAATGACCGATGAGTATTCAAAGAACAACCTTGGCTCCCGGGCCGAAGAATATATCGAGAGTATTGTTTGCAAGAACCTTGAAATGTGTGTTGAGGTTCTTCAGCAATGCGAAAACCTCCTCCCTCTTGCAGATGAGCTTAAGATTGTCACGAGGTGTATTGATGCCATTGCCTCGAAAGCTTGTGTGGAGCAGATCGCTTCTAGTTTCTCGCGCTTGGAGTACAGTAGCTCGGGGAGACTCCATATGAGTCGCCAGGCAAAATGCGAGGGAGATTGGTGGATAGAGGATCTATCAGTGCTTCGTGTCGACTTATATCAAAGAGTGATAACTGCAATGAAGTGTCGTGGCGTTAGGCCTGAAAGTATCGGAGCATCGCTGGTGAATTATGCACAGAAAGAGTTGGCCAAGAAATCGAGTTTGTTATGGAATCAATCCAGCCAGTCCAAATGTGACATAGTTGCTGGCTCGAGTGACCAAGAAAAGCTTGTAGTGGAGACGATTGTAAGCCTAATGCCTGTTGAAAAATTCGCAATTCCCATCAGCTTTCTCTTCGGGCTGCTGAGAAGTGCTGTGATGCTCGATTGTGCAATCGCTTGCAGGCTTGATCTCGAACGACGCATAGGATCCCAGTTAGATATAGCCACTCTCGATGATCTCTTAATCCCTTCCTTCCGACATGCTGGTGATACGTTGTTTGATGTTGACACGGTTCACAGAATACTGGTTAATTTTTCTCAGCAGGACGACAGTGATGACGATATGGAAGAGGGCTCGGGGTTTGAGTCCGATAGCCCTTCGTCGCCCTCCCAAACTGCACTGTTTAAAGTCTCGAAACTGGTGGACAATTACCTGGCTGAAATCGCACCCGATGCAAATTTAAAGCTTAACAAGTTCATAGCAATTGCAGAAACATTACCAACACATGCCCGTACTATCCACGATGGACTCTATCGAGCAATCGATGTTTATCTCAAAGTAAGTACTATCTCTTGCTTGAAACATCATTAGTTCAATGTGTTCTGTCCATGGTTGCAGTAGGCGCTAGTCGGGCGGTAGAGTAGCGCCTAGTGCCTAGACGGCTTAGGCGGGCGCCTATGCGGCTTACTAGAAAAGAAAAAACAGTGCACCTGTATGGGTGTGTGTGTGTGTATATATATATATATATATATATATATAATGAAAAAAAATTAGCAAGGCCGAGCCGACCAGGTTAACTCGGCTAACTCGATCGAAATGGACGAGTTAACTCGGCCGAGTTAGTTGCTAGGCGGGTGCCTAGGGGGAAAATCGCCACGGTTTAGGGGTGCCTAGACCGAGTTTTGCAACAGTGGTTCTGTCTCAACCAAAAACGTAAACTTTTGCATAACGTGAATGTGTGCATTGCAGGCTCATCAAGGTTTGTCAGATCCCGACAAGAGGAAGCTCTGCAGGCTGATCGATTTTCAGAAGCTATCACAGGAAGCCGGTGCACACGCTGCGACGAACGAGCGCCTTCCCCTTCAATCGATAGTCCAAGTGCTTTACTTCGAGCAGTTGAGGTTGCGAAACGCCTTATTCTGCTCTTACCCCGATGAAGATCCAAAGCCATTGCACCAGTCGTGGAGGATCAACAGTGGCGCTCTTAGCGCTGCAATGTCTCCCAAGGACAACTATGCGTCCCTGAGGCGAGAGAACAGGGAGCTCAAGCTTGAACTAGCGCGGATGAGAATGAGACTAAACGATTTGGAGAAGGAGCATGTCTGTATGAAGAGGAGTATGGAAAAGTCCAACTCTAGGCGATTTATGAGTTCCTTTTCAAAAAAGATTATCAAACTCAACCTTTTTGGACATAGTTCTTCCAGGGAGTCGACCTCTCCCTCAAAGCAGTCACAGAGAACTGATTCAAAGCTAACAGAAACAACATGAATATTATTATTGCTTCAGGTACATCAAATTACTGCAAACAAAAAAAAAAAATAAAAAAATACGTAACTTTTTATGCTGATAAACCATAGTTATCGCCTGTAAATTGTGTAGTCTTTGTTCCATCTTCCCCCGCCCTTTCCCTTGTTAGCTTTCCTATATATTGTATATGGTTTGAAGGGATGTGTATTAGAAACTGAGGTTCTTCAATCCCTATTCCCTTTTACTGTACTTGAGAGTTTCTAAATTTTGATGAATATGATTTTTCTTACAAAAGTCGAACACAAGGATACAAATGTAAGAGGCCAAATTATACTAGTTTTAAGTAAAGATTCTACAAAGTTGATGATTCTGCAATTTGCATTCAGAACTAAGGAGAAAACTCCATGCTGTATTTGCTTTTGTTCTCCAGAACTCGAGCTGTATACATGTCCTTTTCTGTTTCAAATTGGTAATATAATTCACTGGACAATTCATGAGTACAACTTAACTTAACCCTGAAAATGAAAAAAGGGGGGAATCAAAAGATGATAGACATTAAAAGAGAGGGAAAAAATCCCTTGCCAGCAAGGTTGCAACTTCAAAACTCAGCGAAGTTGTGTTGCGGGGTTGGTGAGTCTCTTTCCCGGCTTGGGATAAAAACAGATGATGCGAAAGTCACCCTTAGATTCCGCTTTCTTTGAGCACTCCCGGGCTTCCTCAAACAAGATTTTAGTTGAACTTGTGTGGATGTGGAGCCTCTTGTGCGATGATCATCAGCTTCATGAACTCTGCTGCTAATCCTCGGTCTTGAAATGTTCTTAGCATCAGTGTACTGTCGTCTTCCTGAATATGAGTAGCTTCTATCTGAAGATCTGTCATCCAGCAATGCATTTTGATATCTGTTCATCTTCTTCTTGCTAGAAGAAGAGAGTTCAGTACTTGGAGCATAATAGACTGGCCTGTCGGGGCTCTGAGAAAGCTCTTCCTCGTTTCTTGGTCTGTACCAGGGCGAGTTCTGCATTCTTCCATTTATGTGCTTGGGAGTCCTCCCGGCTGATGACCTGATAGGCGTTTCTTGACACGCAAGAGAATGGCTTTGGCCAATCTTCAGAGAGCTGATTCTCAAATGAGGTGAGCCCTGACTGCTGGAATGGTGGTTCTCGTGATGCTTCAGTGGATGTTCTTTCTTGGAAAGTAAACTAAGGCTGCTGGACTGGCTGTTTTCTTGGTTGTTCACAGGTTGGTTTTTCCTGTGTGGTAAACTAGGATCAAAGTGATGGTGGCTTTCACCATTGATGAGCTTATAAGATGGGAAATAATTGTCAGAACTTAAGACTGGCTGTTCTTGAGCACTGTTTTCAGAGGGTTCGCGCCTTGGCGTGTGCTGATTCTTCTGCCTTCTATCTTTCAACAGCTGGTAAACTGTGCGACAAGGAACGACGTAGAAGACTTTACCTGGTAGCAATACAGCTTCAGGCTTGACAACAACCCAGGGAAACTTGAACACGTCGGGCCGGGTGATGCAGTGCCTGGGGTATTTCTTCATCACCTCTGCAGCTGCTACAGGCTCTCTGTAAACCTCTACATGCCTGCCTGGATGCACTAGTTTTAGCAAGCCTTTCTCCTTTGTTGAGGTCCCCATTTTTGCCTCTTCTTCCTTGTTGCCAATGAATGAGTATAGATTGGCCAAGGGGAAGGGGACATGGCTAGAGCTGTAATCCTCTTCTTATAATCTCTTCAGAAATCTTGGGCTGAGGAAACAAGGAATGGGGAGGCTTTGGAAAAACAGGCAACCTTGTTTTCATAAAATTCTCTTGGTCTAAAGATTGACTTCGATTATGCAAATCGTGCTGACTCAAGAAAAGACAGTATAGTGTGCTTGGAAGAAATCAATTTCTGGTAGTGCAGAAATTTTGTATGGAGTATATAAGTTGACCTTAAGCAACAAGAAAAGGCCAATGCAAGGATGTGGAAAATGGGATTCATTTGATAGGGAATACTCAAAAACACAATGCAAACATCATGCCCACAGTGATTAATACGACACGAAAATTACAAGAGATGCCAGCAAAAACTGAGTCTAATCACACAAGCCTTGAGAACAAAATGAAGAAAATAACAGCTTCAAGCAAATAATTTGTCACATGTAACACAAAAATTGTACCACAGCCACAAGAAAATGTTCCACTCAATACCATTGTCTCTGAAATTCCAAGGCTACTTAATACTATATTTAAGATTTAGGATCTACTAACTCAATTTAGTACTTCACTGAGGATAAGATGTCAAGTTGGGTACCCAGTCTCTCCTCTGCAGCCTTCTCAGCTTTGACCCTAAGCTTTGTCAACTGCTTCCTCCTCTCGTATGCAGCTTGGGCCCTCTCCTTCCTCTTATTCTCTAGAACCTGTTATCCAAAGAGGATAATAGTTAAGCAAACTGTGTTCATCACTAATTGTAAATAGTCTAGAGCGTACAAAAACCCAAGCAGTTCAAATTGACATTAAAAAATATTTCTGAAGAATTGACAAAAGTTACAACAGCACAAACACTCAAAGTACATAAAAGACCAGAACACAAATGAAGGTCAAACAGGTTGCAGCAGACAATTCAAAACGTTTTGCATATTAGTAGGAATATTACATTTACTAATCCCCCTAATATTTGTGCTTATATACAGCACAATTAACACACACCATACAACCACATCAAAATACTAGCACTTGAAAGTACAACATTCAGAGAAAAGTTGTGATTTAGAACTCTAAAATCTCAATGGATCAATCCCATAAGATTGTAAGTCAAAATGTCTTGTAAGTACCATATGCCCACATCACAATACCAGCAATTGTAAGTTCAACATTCAGTGAAAAGTTTTGAAAATTCAAATTGGTCAATCACATAAGATTGTAATTCAAATTTCTTGGCTTAGGTTTATTTTGTAAGTAATAATTTTGAAAATTCAATTTTACTCCAGTACAAGGCTAGGAAAGGGAGGCTGGGACAGTAACTCCCTACCTGCATTGCCATTCCTACTCCTAAAGTCCTAATTGTGTATCATAGATTACACTATAAAAGTTACTAGATTTGAACAAAAGTCCTGGAAACAATTTATATAACACACACAATGCATTATTTCAATATCAGAAGTCATGGAAAAATAATCTCTGTAACACAAAACACAATGCATTATTTCAATATCAATCATTAACGATATAAAGAAGATGCTTCAATAAGTTACCTTGATGGTATCATAGTGGTTCCAGCCAACCTCAGATGAAAGCTTACCCAGCAGGCAGTACTTGTGCCCAGCCTGGAGCCTCAATACCCTACGTACAATTCATAATTTCAAATCATGTAATAAACTAACCAAAAATATCAAAAGGTAGAGAGGCTTAAGGATTTTTATGAATGAGAAAGAGGATGTAGCAGTAAACTTACTTGAGGGCATCAGGAATAACCATCCGCTTCACCTTATCATACGGCGGAGGAACACCCTCGTACACCTTCAATCGAGCCAGCGCCGCAGCTCCTCTCTTCGTCTTATGCGGAATCATTCTACATATTCCAGTTCCACAAAATCATAAAACGCTTAATTCGCAAAATATATATATATATATATATATATATATATTCTCCGACGATGTTTCGTAGATAGATAGCAAAAATGCATTTCACACTGATGGAGGAGTTGGAGAGCAAAGACTTACCCTCGGATGGTGCGCCAGAGGATCTTAGACGGTGCGCGGAAGTGGATGGGGCCGTGGGAGGGCTTGGTGTTCATGCGCTTGCGGAGGAAGCGGTGATACTTCATTTTCTGACGGACAAGGCCGCCGGAGAGGCAGATTTCCTCGCAGCGGACAACAACCACTCGCTGACCATTGAGCAGCTCCTTGGCCAAGATGGAGGCCAGCCGTCCCAACATATGATGCCTCGCGTCCACCACCACTCTACGAGCGCAGATTCCAGATCCCGACACCATTTTTGCTGCGTCTTCTCTTCACTCCCTTCCTATCCGGCGATGACTAGCTTAGCTCTGCTCTAGCAGAACGCGGAACGAAACTAGGGTTTATGTAAGTGGTTATTTGGTTAGCTTAATGTAACATGGGCTGGGCTGAATATTTCTCGCACAACTGGTGCGGCCTGTTAAGGGTAACAAAATTTGGGCCGAATGGCACTCTACAAACCCAATTGTGGCAAATTATCCTATGCACAACGTGCGCACATTGCAATGTGCGCACGTTTCAAAAACGGCGTCGTTTTCAGGGAAAACGACGCCGTCCTAATTAAAAAAAAAAAAAAAAAATTGAAATTTTGGCCGTTAACGGCGTTATTTTTGATTTGGCAGCCAATTCTTTTGAGATTTTGGTAGTTGCAGTCGTGATTTGGTAGTTTCCATTCGCAAGTTTCGCAATTTTATTTCCTTCTTTCCTTTCGCTTTTTGTTGTGCGTTGGTGTTCTGTTTTGCGTTATTGAGTTCGTCGATGGAGGAGGCAACAGATCGGGGAGATCTAATCGGAGAGGGTTTGTCTACGATTCCAGGTTTGTTTCCATTCGATTTTTGCGTTTTTTGTAGTTCATTTATGTGATTTTTCTGCTATTTGAGATTTATGAGTTTAAGATTTATTTTCAAATTTATAGTTGTGTCTGTTATTGGGGAGAATTTGCAATGTATGTGATTTTTGGTTGTTTTTATTTGTGATTATTGCAGAATGTGTGGTTTCTACTTTGCATACAATCCTGAGAGTTATACATTCATAAATTTTGAATATGTAAATCCATAATTTTTGAGTTCTACATTCAGAATTTTTGAATTGTATATCCTCAATGTTATTTGGTAATCTGTATCTGCTTGTAAAATCCATATTCATAAATTGCAAGTTACATGTTCATAATTTTTACTGCTATGCTCCTCTATTTTCTATGTTTCAGTGAATGAAGATTTGGTGGGTGATTCATTAATTGGTGATCAATCAGATGTTAACATTGATGGATCTTCTTCGATTCCAGGTTTTTTCATAGTTTTTTACTGTGTGATGTGTGGTTTGAAACCATTGAATTGTGATTCATAATATTTGACATATATATTCATCGTATTGTACATTCATGTTATGTGTTATATGTTTGGATGAAAATTTTATTCTTTTTGTAGAGCATGGCTGGATTTATTCGACATTCCTCATTCCCCCTCTACTTAGGAATTATATTTCCATCAAACATTAGTAGTTGTTATAGTTGAGGTTATATTTTATAATTGCAGCTGTTGAAGACTTGGTTGGTGCTGTAGTTAGTAATGGTGATGAAGCTTTTGAGCTATACAACGAGTATGCCTATAGAGTTGGTTTTAGTGTGAGGAAGGGTCAACAACGTTACAAGGCCTCTACTAAGACAATTCAAATGAAGAGGTTTTTCTGTCATAAGGCTGGTTTTAAGGCAAAGGCAGATAGTGGTGTCAATTTGTATTCAAAAATTGATATAAGGACGGGTTGTGGTGCATTTGTTCAGTTTGATATGGGTGGGGATGGGAGGTGGACAGTTACAAAACACGTGAAAGATCACAATCATGAGTTATGTGCTTTAGACAAGAGTCATCTACTTCGTTCACATAGAAGAGTGGGGAATAATCAGATTTCCTACTTAAAAGATCTGAAAAAGAGTGGGGTTGCAGTGGCGGATGGTATGAGGTTGTTGAAACATCAATCTGGGGGGGTCTCCATTTGTTGGGTTCACTAATCGAGATGCTTACAATTCACTGGCTTATGATAGTTTGAAGTGTTTGGATGGAAATGATTCTAATTCCTTAATTGAAATATTTAGGAGGAGGCAGTTGAATGAGACTGAATTTTTTTTTGACTTTGAAGTTGATTCAGATTCAAGATTGTGTAGTTTTTTTTGGAGGGATGGTCGAATGAGACAAGATTATGAGTTGTTTGGGGATTTGTTAGTGCATGACACAACATACCGCACAAATAAATATGATATGATTTGTGGACCTTTTGTAGGGATGAATCATCATTGCATGAATGTAATGTTTGGATGTGGTTTTTTGATGAATGAGAGGATAGAATCCTTTTTGTGGTTGTTTAAAGCATTTTTAAGATCTATGGATGGCAAGTGTCCACAGTCTATCATGACAGATCAATGTGCAGCTATGGCTGCGGTTATTTCTCAAGTGTTTCCAACATCACGTCATCGTCTTTGCATATGGCATATCGGTGAGAATTCAAAGAAGCATATCAGACATTAAGGAATAATAAAGATTTTTTGGATTTGTTTAACTGTGTGTTAAAATACACAGACACTGAAGCTGAATTTGAATTTTATTGGACAAGGTATGTTACTATTCACTGTTTTTTTACTGGTTTTTAAGCATTGGAGTTGAATATTACTAGTATGGAAGTTTTGAACATATAGTATTTAGGTTTACGAAATTGTGATTGGGGTATGATTTTTGTATCTGTTTGTTTTTTTTTTTCTGGATTATATTTACTCATCTTGTCTATTTACAGTATAGGAATTATGTGTTGCTGTTTAGGAATTATGAATCTTTTTGTTTAAAAATTATGAATCTAGAGTATAGAGATTATGAATTTACAGTACATAAATTATGGATCAACAGTGTTAGGTTTGTGAACATGTGTTAAAGATTTGTTGATCTCATTGCCTTTTTTCATATAAACTTAGTGAATGTGTCTTGTATATTTTCAGGATGATGACTGAGTATAAGTGTCATAAGAATACTTGGTTAGAAAAGCTTTATGATTGTAGGGAGAAGTGGTGTCCAGCATTTAACAAGGATTATTTTTCTGGGGGTATTCTATCTTCCCAAAGGAGTGAAACTACGAATCATTCTATTTCTAGAAGGTTATCTAAGACTGCCGGTCTTTGTGATTTCTACTCATCTTTTGTTGGCGTTATTTCTGAATGGAGAGGTAAAGAGAATGGTGAAGATTTTAGGTGTGCACAAGGACTACCTGCTATGATGATGGACCATGTGAAACTTCTTTCACATGCTAGAGAGGTATATACTATTGAGATCTACTATTTGTTTGAGGAACAATTTATGAAAGGTAGTTCTTGTCATCAAGAAATTGTTTTGAATGATGGTTTTGAGTACAAGTATCATGTGTGGCGACCAGATATAGATATTATAAGGCATGAAGTAAGTTTTAAGCCAATTAATGTGGAAATTTCTTGTAGTTGCAAGTTGTTTTCTGAATTGGGAATACTTTGCTGCCATTGTTTACGTATACTTCATGTGAATTGTGTTTCTAGTATTCCAGATAAATACATTCTGAAAAGATGGACTAAAAAGGTTGTTGATGGTAGAAATGTGGACATTGCTTCTTTGTTCTATAACGTCGGTGTCCCCTCTTCAATTGGATTGTTGAGATTAGTAGAAAATTCCAAAGGTTGATTGTTTCTAGTCAAGACAACATTGTTGCTAGACAGTTTTGTGATGAGGCTGTCGAGAATGCAAAGAAAAAGGTGGAAGCTGAGATTGGGGAAGTAAACATTGAAGAGTGCGGGGTTTCATCATCAAGTGGTGTTGTACAAAATCCTTTAACCAAGAGGTTGAAAGGTGAGCGTAATAGAAGGAGGAGTAGTGTTATCGAGAAGAAATACAGTATAGCAAGGGGGAGAAAGAGTGCTGCAAATAAGGTTGCTTCAATTACAAAGAGCAGTGTACAGTCTTTGGTTTTGGAAAATATATTAGAGATTGCTCGGGATGGATACCTTGTACATCCAAGTTCTGGGGGTTCACAGTTTGTTCATTTTAATAAGAGTTTAGACGACAATGTAGTTCTAGACTGAGATTGTGTTATTAGAACTGGTTAATAGAAATGCAATATAGAGATATGATGAACACAATGTGAACTATTCTTTTGCCTTTTGTTAAAGAACTGGTTAATTTGAATTCTATGTTCACAAGTTTTGCACTCTATGTTCATAGTATCTGTGATTTAGTTGGTCATAGTTGTAGAGCTATTCGTTCATAATGTCAAAGTGTTCTATGTTCAGAATTGTAGACTTGTATATTCATAAATTCATAACTGTAAACTCATAATTTCATTTGATAAATATAAATTCATAATTACATGTGTAAATTCATAATTATATAGGTTTATGTTTAGAATCTTAGAGAAGTATATTCATAATTTTATAGTTACATGTTCATAATCTCACAACTATATATTCATAATTTTTATAACTAGATGTTCATAATCTCATAACTTTGAATTCATAATTTTATATCTACATGTTCATAATCTGACAATTATATATTCATAATTTTACATGTAAATTCATAATTTATTAGAGGTCTATGTTCAGAATATCAGTGCAGTATATTCATAAATTTATAAATACATGTTCATAATCTCATAACTGTGAATTCATAAATTTTTAAAACATGTTAATAATCTTATAACTGTGAATTCATAATTTTATATATACATATTCATAATCACACAACTATATATTCATAAGTTCATATGTGTAAATTCATAATTTATTAGAGGTCTATGTTCAGAATATTAGAGCAGTATATTCATAAATTTATAACTACATTTTCATAATCTAATAAATGTGAATTCATAATTTTATAACTACATGTTCATAATCTCTCAACTATATATTCATAATTTCCAATTAAAACTACAGAAGTACATTTTGACAATTTCACAACTATAGATCACATTAATAGACATACATTCAAAAGAGCAGAAATATATGCTCACATTACATAACACCAGATTGTCAAAATTAGGTGTCTACATTCATGCCTTTCAAAAAACACCATATTGTCAGAATTAGCTGTCTACATTCATGCCTTTCAAAAAAAGATACCCACAGTCATAAGTTCAGAATTAAACATTCACAAAACCATTGCTTTCATGTTCACAAAGTTTTTTAGATCACAACAATAGTCTACATTCACTTCTTTTTGGACACCTGCTTTGCTGCCTTCATAATCTTGTGTTTTACGGTGTTCACACTCCATGTGATAATGTTAGCTGCGTATTTAGCTCTGAGTTCACAAATGAAGTCAGCCTTTAAAAAAAAGGAAAGAAAAAAACATTAAATAATCAGTTTAATGAATTGTCAAAAAACAATTAAGAATATGTAATGTATAACTAATATATTTTATACTCTTACATTTACACGAGTATTGCGCCTAAATCCAGGTGTCCATTTTTTTGGAATTCCTTTATACGTTTCCAGATGTCGCATGACATATACACCGCAGTCAGTTGCATTATCCAGCTCTTTCCAGTGCATATTGACAAACTCTACAGGAATGTCATCTAATTTCCATAGCAGGGGTGAAGTTTCTGCTGCAAGGTATTCCTTGAATGCAGTCATCTGGAGAAAAAAAATGTCAGTGTTCATAATTTTTTATAATAAATATATAAGTAAGAAATGATAAGAGACTCAAGTTTTTGATCTAGTTACCAGCAAATGTGGGCAATCTTGATATTTGTCCACTTCCAAGACATCAGGGGGTAGGGATTTGTTGTCTATAATTTGGACTGTCTTTGAAATGGTGTTGATGCAGACAACAAAATAGTGACCATGTCGAAGCGCAGGAAAAAATATCTAAATTTCAAATAAGGAATAATTAAAGCGTTGTTAGTCTTTTTGGATGTAATAAATAAAAATTTAGTTTGTGTAATAAAAATTACCAAATCTGCATCATTGATGTCAAGATTGCCAAATCTTGTTATTTCAAAACGCAACCTGTCATTGAAATTTTTCTTCTTTTTCTCTAGTGGAAGATCCTTCATCCACTGATCAACTGGGTCAATTTGCAGCTATGGAGAAAATCATGTATTAACACTTAGATTATCGATAATGTAGATTCACAAATTCAGAAATTAATATTCAAAAGTTGACAACTCTGTATTCAGAATTTTTAGAATATATATCCAGAATTATTGAGATTTACATTCTCAATTTCATAACTATATAACCACAGAACTTTTAATATAAATTCAAATTTAAAAAATAGTTTGTTGCAAATCATAACACACTTACATGTACTGATATGCTGAAGTAGATGCACTTTGGTTGCCCCAATGCTCGTTGTATGTTAAGAATTGTAAGACGCAATGACCATACATCAAGTAAGTTGCTGTCAACCTCACCAGTGCTCAGTGTGTGGAAGTGACCTCTTGTCAAATAGAAGTCATTAGAGTTGAAAAGTATCTCTCTACAACACAAAAAAATAAACAAATAAATAAATAAACAAATAAATTCATGCTAATTCATTTTAAATATTCAAGTAATTAATTTAGATTGAAACATACTCTGATGGATAATCACAAGAAACATCCAGGAATGCATAGTTGGATATGATTTTCTCTCTAACAGTTGCATTGTGGACAAACCGTTCATTCTTAGTCCAAAAAGGTGACCTTAGATTCAGCGGGATATTCTTGAATCTTCTTGTTGGCCGCTTTCGGACAGTTACATCTTCAACATCATTTTCACTGTCTTGCAATGCACTGTGTTTACATATAATGCAGGTAATCAATTAATAATAACAAAATATAATACTAACAATTTACTAATTATATATTATATATTAATAATTTCATATCAATATAATCACAATTTCATAAATGCAAATTCATAATGTTAGAGCTATATGTTCATAATTTTATAGCTCTATATTCAGAATTTTAGAGAGCTATATTCACATTCATAATTTGAGAACTGTACATCTATAATCTCATAGCTCTATGTTCATAATCTTAAAGCACAATATTTTATAATTTGATAAATGTAAATTCATAATTTCATAAATTCATATTCATAATCTAAATACTGCAAACTCATAATTGTATATAAAAATTGAGGCTGAAAATCTTGATCTTAAACATACATAATTATATTAGTTTACCTGTCAACATCATCAAGCTCAGAAGTAGGGGTAGTAGCATCAGTAGGTTGGTTGAATGGCACCCTAACGAGAGGAGTTACTTCTTGGTCTTCAGAGGTTGAAACAGCAGCAGCACCACCTCCAATTTTCCCAACAAGGGCATCTAATTGTTTTTCCTCCAACGTGCTCAGTTTGGCTGGTCGTTTATGCAATGGTACTGGGGTTAGAGATATCCCTAGATCAAAGGAGGGAGCTTCTACCTCCATTTGCCTGTTTGTCTTATGGAAGGCGTCCACCAAAGCATCGACTGCTGCTGTGAAACTCTCTTGGCCAAAGAAAATGTCGTCAAGCTGTGAGGAGGTTGGTGGTGAAGAGGTTTCCATTGTGCTAGCCACAGTAAGCATGCCAGAAATTCCAGAGAAGGCTGTCCTCATAACATCTACAGGTGCGCCTTGCTTCCCAATTGCAGCCATTGCCTCTCCAAATTCTAGGACATTGGCTGCAAGCTTTTGTAGCACCTGGGTAACTCTATCAACACTTGAAAGTGGCACAGAGATTGGGGGAACTCTATGATCAGCATCAGGGTTAGCAGTGTGATCAACAACAGATGCAGCAGCAGGCTTCTCTATCCTTGGGATAACTTTTCCCTTCCCAAACCCACCAGCCTTCCTCTCCGCAGAAACTCTCTTCCTTACAAGCTTAGAGGTCCATACAATAAGTGTGGGGTATGTCCTGTCGACCTTCATCCCTTTGAATTGAACGCGGTCGAAGTAGAATAACTACAATTTTGAAAAAAACACCGGTAAAAAAAAAATAACAGAACTGTAAATTCATAAATAATGTCAAAGCTATATGTTCATAATCTCAGAGCACATATTCATAATTTGATAACTACATATTCATAATATCATAACTGCAAATTCATAATTTCAAAGAACCATGTTCACAATTGTATAACTTATTCATATATCCATAAATGAACATTCATAATATAACAACTGTACATTCATAATTTCATAACTACATATTCATAATATAATAACTGCAAATTAATAATTTTTCAAAGAACCATGTTCACAATTGTATAACTTTATATTCATAAATCCATATCTGAACATTCATAATATATAAACTGTATATCCATAATCTCATAGATTTATTGTCACAACTCTATATATTAACAACTTCACAACACTTTTAACCATAAATTAATAAATCCATATTCACAATTTCATAATCATATATGCATAATATCATAACACTGTATTCAAAGTCAGATTATCACTAAACACAATGAATTCATAAAGACAATAATTTACCAGAATGAATGCCATTGGTCCAATAAAGAAACGCTTAGGCTTTTTGACCTTCTCCTCAATGGATCTAATAAGGGACTTGTATGTGTAGCTACACCAGTTGTAGTTTTTGATATCCCCAATGTTGATCAAGGAGTTGATGACTCTGAAGTTGCAGTTCCGTGACTGGTATCCCCGCATCATGCATGAAACCGTCAATACCATAAA